AATTAAGGTCTCAGCAAAATAGGCAAAGTTGCATTTTGCAGCTTTACAGCATTTGGTCTCAATTTTCAACATTGCTTTCCATTTTATGGTCATTAAGACATACTACAAGCCTGCCCTCCCAAAACATTTACGAAACTGCTTTTAAAACATATTTGTTTTTCAGTAGCAGTAAGGGCAGAAGATGTGGAGATAGTAAACTCCTTGCTAATGTCCTCTCTAAGCTACTGAGCTCTTAATTCTTGCAAGATAAGAGTTCTGATGAATGACATAGGTAACTTCATCTTTAGAAGGAAGTAATAAAGATCTATATTTAAAACCTTTCTGCACTGCAGTAGCTTAGGCTTGGCTCACTGTCACATTTCACTTTAAGTAGCTTAGGTATCAAAAGAAAGACTGCAAAACGCAGCCTGGATAGATCTTTGTTTATTTAGTAGGAATGGATCACCCAACAGACTAGTTTGAGCTGAAAGCAGTTGGATGATCGAGACATATTTCTAGTCAGGACTAATTCTTTATTTAAAGCAGGTGCATAAATGTTAAGCAAAAAGTGGTAATTGCTCTCTGATCCAGACTATAGCAAGAATAAAAGAACTAATCCTTCTTTTAGAATTGGTGATATTAAGCAAATAATAACAACAACAACTCATACAAAATTGCGCATATTTGGGACTTTCGGTTGGGATGTTTGAACATTCACTATACTTTGACTGACGTTTTTCCTTATGATGCTTTTAACTATTCCTGTGAAGAAGTCTGTTTAAATGTTTAATTTAAGGTTAACATGATTCAAAAAGTCACAAAATCTAATAAACTTTACATCATAAAATGTAAAGGATCAGTGGCATATCAGAATATTAAATCAGCTGAGATACATAAGTTCTTCTCCAGTGTATGAACTTAAAAAACAAATTCAGTCTAATGACCCCTGAGGTTCATTACTAGTCACAAGCCTCCAGCTGGACTTTGTGCCACTAACCACAATCCTTTAAAAGCCTGGCAGTTAAGTATAATTTCAGTCCACCTCACTGTCCTCTTACCTAGCCTGTACTTCATCAGTTTGTTTATGAGGATATTACAGCTGGCTGTTGAAAGCCTTGCTGAACTTGAGATAAACAACACCCACTGCTCTCCACCTTCCCCTGAGTTAGTCATGTCATTGGTTGGTCAAGCATGATTTCCCCTTTGTAAATTCATGCTGACTACTCCCAAACAATTTCTTGTCCTTCATATGTCTGGAAATGGTTTCCAAAATTATTTACTCCATCACCTTCCCAAGAAACAAGATGAGGCTGACTGGCCTGTAGCTCCCTGGATCCTCCTCCTTCCAGGTAGGAATGACATCTGCTTCCTTCCAAATCTCTTCCAAACTTCCCCCTGATTGTCCTGACCTTTCCAAGATTACTGAGTGTGGCCTTGCAATGACATTGGCCAGCTCCCTCAGCACTTGTTTGTGCATCCCATGGACTTATGTTTGTACAATTTGCTTAAATGCTCCCTAATCTGATCCTCCTCCACCAAGGCCAAGTCTTCCTTGCTCCAGACTTTCCCACTCATTGTGAGGGCCTGGGATTGCTCAGTGCCAGTCTTACCAGTAAAGACCAAGGTGAAGGAGGCATCGATTACCCTCAGTGTTTTCTATGTCTTTTGTCATCAGATCCTCTGCCTTATTTAGCAGAAAGAACAGCACAGTATCAGACACCAATTCATTCTGAGGCAGTAAAAGCAAATAAGTAAGAGGAAAGTGAAGGCTAAAACAGATGATATAAAGAGACATTGAGGCAGGTCATCTGTGGAACAGAACAGTATAAGACCACACAGTTAAGAACTTTCATAATGCAGAGGTATAAGATTAAGACCATGAACTTCATAATTTGTCAGAATTCTCCCATTTTTTAAATATTATTCTATCTTTAGCAATGTTCATTTACGTAGTTTTGAGAGAGAAATGGAAATAGAAGCAAAAGAAAAAGGCATGTTCATGTCCATACGCCAACCTATTTCTGTGTGCCCTCTAGCAAACAGACTATACAACTCATGAACCAAAGAAGCTATACACAAGTCGACACAGCAAGGTAGTATCTGTAACTTCCCACACCCAGAAAGCGCATATCCCTTCTCATTCCAATCTTGCACTTCTCTGAAATCAGAAAAGTATAATTAAGTGAAACTGTAAGAAAAAACTGTAATACAGATAAACGTCCTCTGGCAGTAACCACAAAATTCATCTTCACCTGTGACAAAGAGCCAAACCTGCAATCAGGTCTGCACAAATTAATACCTTAACCTACTGAGTTATCTGTCCTAATAGCATGATTTAACAGAGGTTACTATTATTTTCTGATTAAATTGTTCTTTTTGGGTGCCACTTTTGGGGAGCCTTTAGAAATAAATAATTGTAAAAAAATGCTTTACAATTGGTGATTACCATATGACAACTCATTAAAAAAACCCTCTCGTTTTAATAGTCTAATTTATTATATACTCTTAGGCAACTAAAACAACAATTTCAATAACTGGCTCCTTAAAATGCATCATTAGTAGATATTCCACTTGGACTGAGTGTAATCGATGGCCTAGCTGGACTTGTCAATGCACGACAAAAGACAGGCTCGGACTCAGGCGCCAAGAGCCAAAGAGTTAACAAAGGCAGCAACTGACTTGTGCTTATCTTATCAGTCAAAAGTAAGGGGGGATAGCCCATCACTGTAAACCAAGTGATCTGTGGGGTGCAGCAGAGACCGCACAGCCAGAGATTGCTTCGGATAAAGAACAGATGGCCCCCGGAAGCACACACCAAGGTGTCCGCTTCATAGGCGTGTCAGACCACTGAGTCCCCACAACATTCCATGCCAAGAGCCAATCAACACTTAATAATTGACTTAGTCCCACCTCACAATAAGATTTCCAAACATATAAAAATTGGCACTTGAAAACTCTCTTTGGGAGGAAGAGCCAAGCAAGAACTTTACCTGGCGGATGGGTCGACGGGCCTGAACCTCTCTTCCCCCCCCAGGAAGCGATGCCTTTTTGGTAAGAGTCGTGCCTCTGACTTTGTCAGACGTATCCCCAGGAAAAACATTGTTAACTAAAGTGCTAAACTATTACCTTTAAGCTCAACTTTTGTAGACAGTGCATTTATCAACGGCAATCCCGAATCTGTAATACCTGTTGCTTGCATAAATTAACTATTGTTTCAACTTTTCAAAACTGTTTCAGTGAAAGTCCTTGGAGGGGCTCTGACAGGCAAGTTGAATCTGATAAGTGGCTACACACTTAACACTTTAGACAGAAGACGTTGACCAAGCCTGGGACTAGGAGTAGATCCAGCCGCACCGAGACTCTCCTCAGAGAGAGTTTAGAACACAAGGGGGTCTGCTCTGAACTTCGTGACTCAATTGGAGGGCTTTCCTTTTGCCGCTTATCAGACTCCCTTATCCCTTTTAACACAACACTGAGACATTTAGGGGTTTTTGTCCAGTAGTGTCCACTAGATCTGTGCTTCATTCCTCTTGTCTTTAGACATAAAAATCCATTAGAAGTTTAATGTTAAATAAGATGCATTTTGGCGCTCATATTCTCCCCAACAAGTTCCCACACGTCAGAACAAGGCTAGCCATGCCTCAACGTCTAGGTATTACTAGAGTCTACAATAAAGAGAACAGATGGTGGGGTTGAGGAATATACCCACGCAGCATTTATGGTGAGCCATAGCACTGGCCAGGCAGCTAGCCATTTTCCCTGCAAGTTGTCATCTGTACACACAGCTCTCACATAACACCCAGCAGAGCAGAGTGCTTGTGACTGTAAGACAGCTTCACTAAAGCAGGCACTGGACACAGATAGTAAGAAAAGAATACATTGTAAATACACCTATTTACTGTAGGGCATGTTATTTAGCTAGGGAAGCTCCCTGAGTCAATCATAAGATCAGACCCAAACTATGAGTTGACAGCTAGAAATCTGTTTCTATTGGATGCAGGGGGTATAGACCGACTTTTCAATCTTACAAGCAGAATTATTCAACACAATTGAAAATATCTAGTGTAATTTGCTTCCATATAGATAAAATGAGAAAAGCAATGGGATATTCAAAACATATGCAAGGTAAAGAATATGCCCAAACGAGACTTCTGGAAGATGATAGACAACTAGATTATCCATAATTCAGAGAGGTCATAAATCACTCAAGGCATAAATGACACTAGACAATATTTTTCCATGTGTGGCTTATGAGCCATTCATCTAGAGTTCTTTCCTGATCAGCATCAGACTGCCCTTTCTTGGTGTTAACTACCCACCCAAATTTAATGCTGAAAGAGACACCAAAGTTAGGGTGAAGATGCAAAAGTGAGAAATCATATCAGGAAACAGGAGTAATAATTACCACTGGCTGAACGGTTTTATCAGATTTGAATAGCGAACTGCCTAGGTCAGGCTTATATGGAACAGGTCATTTTGTCTAATCTTACCCAAGTGATCATGAGGTGTCAAACGGACCTTGAAAGTAGGACAAGATTTATAATCTGGAACCTTGGTCTCCATTACCTTCCTAAATGGCATTAGAACAATGGCAATACAGAAAATATTTAAAAATTCAGGAAAGCTAGGTCTGAAACACACCACTATAAGCATAAATACTAACACCTGCATGTGATTATAGACAGGAAAATGAAGAGAAAGTGACTACAGTTAGCATTTCCTTCACAAGATCATTAATGGAATGAAGAAAGTAAGAAGGTTCAACACACTTCACCCTTTACATCTAGTTAGAAACTCTAAGAACGCGTAGAACACGGAAGATACTTCATGAGCAGTGCTAGTCAAAAGATGCTGATCTTGGAACACAGAAACACAAGGAAAGGAAATACATATGGGTAGGCAATAACTTATCCCAAAAAAATACTTTCAGTGGCACGTCATCACAATGTCTCTATGAATAACAATTTCAGAAGTCTACAAAAGCAGTATTAGAAGGAAGAGTATAGTGAAAGAATTGTCACCTTTTTCGCAATCTTTCCACACAGTTTTTCGATTCTTCTCATAATGTTGATTTAACCAGGTGAGGATGATTCGTTCATATGGAGAATATATATTACTGGATAACGGTTCAGATTTTATCCTTGGCATGTTCTGCACACTTTCCAAGCTGAACAGATCAGTGATATTACGTGAAGAAACACGTGGAAGAACAAACACCTGAAATTGGAAAAAGTGTTTTTAAGCACAAACTGTAAAAAGAAAAATTACAAGTTGAATGATAAAAAACCTGCTTCATACTCAAAAGGTTTTCTAATTTAGAAAATGTTTAAGACACTGCACATTAGCGTAAATGTATAACACACAAGAGAACAGATTTGCTGAGGTTTTAGGGAACTCCTCTGCTTCCTTAAACAAAATGCAAACTGAAGCTTCCAAATGGTCGTGGGAGTCTGGAGAGGTCCCAGTTGACTGGAAGCTGGCAAATGTCCCGGTTTTCAAGAAGGGAAAGAAGGAAGACCTTGGTAATTACAGGCCTGTCAGTCTCATTTTAGTGCCTAGAAAATTTATGGAGAAGGTTATTCTGGAAGTTAAACACTTGGGAGACAACAGAGTCGTTAGTTATAGCCAGCATGGGTTCAAGAGGGGAACGCCCTGCGTAACCAATTTAATTTCCTTTTACAATAAGGTCACCCATCTAGTTGACCAAGGGAAGCCAGTAGATGTGGGGTTTTTTGGATTTTAGCAAAGCTTTTAATACTGTCTCTCACAGCACCTTTCTGGACAAAATGTCCAGCATACAGCTAGACAAGTCCACAATACAATGGGTGAACAATTGGTTGACAGGTCGGTCTCAAAGAGTTATAGTAAATGGAGTTACATCAGACTGGCAGTCAGCTACCAGTGAGCTTGTCCAGGGCTCAATTTTGGGGCCAGTGCTCTTTAATGCTTGAATAAATGATCTGGACACAGGAATCAAATGTACATTAAGTTTGCCAATGATACTAAATTAGGAGGCAACTGTGGACTACCTCAAGGGTAGAGAGGCCTTACAGAAAGATCTGGTAGACTAGAGAGCTGGGCAATTACCAAATGTATGAAATTTCACAAGAGGAAGTGCCATATTCTGCACCCAGGACAGGGTAATACTACTTAAAGATACAAACTGGGGGACGAGAGCCTGGAGAGCAGCCCCACAGAAAGAGATCTGGGGGCTTGGGTTGATGGCAAGTCGAACATGAGTCAACAGTGTGCCCTGGCAGCCAAAAGGGCCAACCACGTCCTGGAGTGCATTGCTAGCCAGTCGAGGGAGGTGATTGTCCCACTCTACATCACACTGGTGCAGCCCCACCTCAAGCACTGTACACAGGTTTGGGTGCCCCAGTGTAAGGAGGACATCAAATTATTGGAGCATGTCCAGAGGAGGGTGACCAAGGTGGTGAAAGGCCTAAAGGGCAAGACATAAGAGGAGCAGGTGAGGTGACTTGGTTTGTTCAGCTTGGAGAAGAGAAGGCTGAGGGGTGACCGCATCGCAGTCTACAATTTCCTCAAGGTGGGTAGCAGAGCGGGAGGTGCTGATCTCCTCTTTCTGGTGACCAGTGATAGGACACGAGGAAATGGATTGAGGCTGCATCAGGGGAAGTTCAGACTGGACATCAGGAAACAGTTTTTCACTGAGAGGGTGGTGTGACACTGGAACAGGCTCCCCAAGGAAGTGGTCACGGCACCAAGTCTGTCACAGTTCAAGGAGCATCTGAACAATGCTTAGTCATATGGTTTAATTTCAGGTAGCCCTTTGAGAAGCCAGGAGTTGGACTCAATGATCCTTATAGGTCCCTTCCAACTTGAGATATGCTTTGATTCTAAATATTTTTTGTTTCCAACTTTTTTCCAAGTTTTGATGAACTGGATGAAATCACTGGACCAGGAATTACTGTGTATAATCTCTCCAAAGCACTAATTACTGAACTACTATACTGATCTCCAGTGAAATCTATAGACAATCTTGAAATGGTATCTTTCACAACCCAGTTGCTCATTTAGGTCCAAATTACAGTGACAGTTTCTTCTGAAAAAAATAAACATTATAATGACTACATTAAATTTCTTGGTACTCGGAAGTCCTTGATTAAGTCTGGCATGAACGTGTGTTTTAAAAAAATATATAAACGTATGTATAGAATATGTAAGAAATATAAAGAAGTAAAAATTCTATACAATACTTCTGATTTTTTTTTCCCCAACTGAAGTGACAGCATAGAAATAGGTATTTGAAGGAGGAATACAGAACTTGATTTTCAGGATGATGATGTCAATAGCTTTGATTTCATCCTCCCTTATCAAAGACGTCTCTTGCCTGACCACCCTGACAAGTAATTAAAACTATCAAGGACTACAGCCATAAATGCTAACTATACTGCATCAGCTCCATAGTGTCATATATTCACAGATAATTTAGGATGAGTTTGTCAAGGACTAATTGTTTGGAGAAGGACAAAATAGAAGAGAAAAAAAAATACTAACAACTAATGAGTGACAATGTCTATTGACAACAAATGTCAATCCAATGCCAATTAAAAAAAGATTTAAGTCACTTCAAAAATTCCTTTTTAAAACCTGAAGCATTTCAGTTCAGCATAATTGTTCCATGCAGAGAAGGCTGAGCTAACTTAATTTAAATATTTGGATTTCTCTCCATGGCACTTTACTGATTTGCACAGAAGTACCTTAACAGAAAAAGAAATCTCAAACTTTTATATCAACATCCTCAGATACAAATCTGAAGAAAACAATGGCAAAAAAAACAGCAAACAAATATATACTGTTTCATGCTTTCTCAAAAGGCAGTGTCTTTGCAGGTTGATTTGTTGCAGCATTCCTTCATCAGTACAACCTGATGTTCTATCAAAAGGACTAAAGCAGGAAAAGATTAATAGCAACAACATTTAGAAGAAAATATGTAACGTTATTTACCCATAAAACATTCTTTTACTGTCTCTTGATAAGGAAAGTCCTATTTATCCTAATCCAAGATGCCCACACGTCTACACTCCTATTGAGACCCTTGTTGAGGGACCAGGACATTAGCATACAGTAGCTTTTTGGAGCACAGTCTATTAATTAAAAAAAAAATCAGCTATAAGGTTAGGGAATGTTATTAATTATAACTATAAAAACCACCCTTATTACTACATGCTCATTAAATTTAAGACAGATTGTCTTCACTGAACATCTGGCCTGACCCAAGGGCTAAATTACCACTTCTGCTGTCAGTGTCCGTGTGTTTCCATCATTCTAGACTTTCAAGAAGTGGAGAGTACCATCAGTATTTTAGCCCTGGTTCAAAAAGAGAACTAAAAGTGTATCTTTATGACTGATGAATTTCCCCTTCTATTCTCCACGTCTTCTACTCTTTCTTCAGAATAAAGCTAATTTTCCATTTTCTGTGCTGGATTTATGTATACTTTTTTTTTTTCCTCTGGAACTTCTGCAGCAACAGAAGTTTTCATAACAAATAAGTGGACCATAACACATCAGGTATGGGCATGAAAACAATATGGGATGACATTTTAGTTGATAAATAATATGAAGTATTTCTAACAATAGTATTTTCTTTCTAAAATTAAATTGGATAACAAAAGATTTCTGGTGAATAGATTAACATTATCTGAAATTTGCAGCATGCTATGTGAGTAAGAAAGGACTGTTTCATCTTACCTTGCTTGAAATCAGGCTATCGTAATCACAAAAAGGATTGTCTCTACTTTCATTATAATGATACGAAAAATTCTCTTAACTGCAGAATATTTCAACACTAGTCCAAATAAATATTTTTTACATGAACTAATCTTGCTGTCTTGACAATTCATATCCTGTTTTTCTTTATTGTTCTGATGCTTTCCTTACAAATTTAATAAATAAATAAACCTTGTTCAGCAGCAGTCATGGTCACCCTTGTCAAAAATGGCTTTGAAAAAAAGGCTATGGAAGAAAGAACAAAACTTTGAATGTTAAGTGACTAGTTCCAGTACAAAGTCATGTTCTCTCAAAAGCTGTGCTTATGCTTTATTATATTGAACTGAATACCATGTCACCCAAATGCATAAGGCTACAAAAAAAGTAAAGCAGAGATGTATAATTCCCAAGACATTAAGAGGAGAGATAGAATATGAATGGGATGTTATAAGGCTGCAAAAATAATGCTTCTCATGATGAAACGGAACTAGAATGATGAAGAGCACATCTTCACAATCGGTTTAAGCTGATCTAAACCGTTACTCTTTCATATCCCCAGCAACCAGGTGTTCTGTCCCATTCTTCTGTCTACACCAACGGTCAGAGAGATGAAAGATCTGTTTGGAAGCACCACTCTACTTCAGTAGTTCTAGCATAAGGAAAGGGGCAGAAAAATGCAGCAAGGAAAACCTGGTTTTCTGCACCACCTAAGACATGCTCTTTCAGAAGTAGCCCGCACCTATATTAGTGTAAATTCATGACGATGCTTTGCTCTCAGATATTGGAAAGGCAACAAAGTTTACTTAAAAAGACTGCACTTCACATCCAGACATGGAAGAAAAATGTTAAAAGGATGAAACAGAATTAAAACTTTTAGAGCAAAGCTGGGGCACCAGCAAAGTTGAAGCATTGCCACCCAAAAACCAATAATCATATCACCATTTCTAGAAGATTAAAAAAGGCCACAAATATAAGTAAACATTTACTACAAAACCCCAAGTAGTTTTCCACATCCTACCTTATATATTTCACTTTACATTTGAAGCCTTCCAAAGCAAGAAGGTTTCCTTCACGAGAACGTAACCAAGAAATCTCCAACTTTCTCCCTGCATCTTCCCATCTTCTTCCTAACCACAGGCATCTGGGGTAAATCCTTGTGCTACCACACAATAAACAACTGCACATCCATGCATACAAAAAACAAAAGAAAAAAAAAAAACACTAACCAAAGAAACCCCCACATACCTTTTCCTCTAACTCTAAAATTCAATGAAGACATTTGTATTCTCCACAACAATGACCTGTTTTTCTGTTCTTATAAAGAACATGTGAGCATCAAACTACTAGCTGCTTGATTTCAAATCCTATAATCTTTTCTCTGAAGGAGCAGGTTAATCACAACTGGGTTTGGGTGTTGTTAACAGTCTAACCAATCTCTGACAATGTTGAGAAAATATGTAGAGAAAATATTTTGCTTAGATTACCTAATCATACCAAATAAATCACAAGATTTATTTGAATGTGGTATACAAATATTATTTCTTCATTGGTTAGATTTAGTAAGTTTAAACAAAATCTCATCAGACCCCATTTCTAATAATACAAAAAATAAAGTTAATGATACACTACAGAAATGATCAAATTAAAAATTCATTTTTTTTTGGTTTGAAGATGTATTTAAATTGTTACTGTAAGAAGTACTAGAAAATTTCTTAAGTAGCAAATTGCAATTATTAATATTTTGATCAAAACTGAAGTTAACTGTTACCTGGACACCAATAACATCTTATCAAAACAAAAGACATTTTGTCTTTGGTCAGGCATTGGAACAGGCTGCCCAGGGAGGTGGTGGAGTCCCCATCCCTGGAGGTGTTTAAAAAACATGTAGATGTGGCACTTCAGGATATGGTTTAGTAGGAATGGTGGTGTTGGGTGGATGGTTGGACTCAATGATCTTAGAGGTCTTTTCCAACCTATGATTCTACGATTCTATGATTCTATGAAATGTTTTATTAGCTGACATTTTTTGACAGTACACATGTGAATCTTTAAAGTATATTTCCCAATAGCCCTGCAGTGGGTTGACCTCGGCTAGCCACCAGATGCCCACTAAGCTGCCCTATCTCTCCCCCTCCTCAACTGGACAGCAAGACTAAAATACAACAAAAGGCTCATTGGTTGAGATAAAGACAGGGAGATCACTCAGCCATTAGCATCACAGGCAAAACAGATTCGACTAGGGGAAATTAATTACATTTACTGTCAATCTAAACCAAAGTAGGATAATGACAAATAAACGCAATCTTAAAGCACCTTCCCCCCCACCCCCTTCACCTTTCTTCCCAGGCTCAACTTCACTTCTGATTTTCTCTACCTCCTCAAGTGGCGCAGGGGGACAGGGAATGGGGGCTGCCATCAGTTCAGCACACTTTGTCTCTGCTGCTCCTCCCTCCTCACACTTTTCCCCTGCTGTAGCATGAGGTCCCACTCACAGGACACAGTCCTCCACAAACTTCTCCAACACGAGTCCTTCACATGGGCTGCAGTTCTGCATGAACTGCTCCAGCATGGGTCCTTCCCACTGTGTGCAGTCCTTCAGGAACAGGTGGCTTTAGCATGAGTCCCCTGCAGGGTCAGAGGTCCTGCCAGCAAACCTGCTCAAGCATGGGCTCAGCCTTCCATGGGGTCACAGGTCCAGCCAGAAGCCTGCTTCAGCGTGGGCCTCCCACAGGGTCACAGCCTGCTTCAGGCACATCACCTGCTCCAGCATGGGGACCTCCATGGGCTACACGGGGACCACCTCCGTCACTGTGGTCTTCACCACAGGCTGCAGGGGAATCTCTGCTCCAGCACCTAGAGCACCTCCTCCCCCTCCTTCTTGCCTGACCTGGGTGTCTGCAGAGCTGTTTCTCTCGCATATTCTCACTCCTCTCTTCCGGCTGCTGTTGTGCAGCACTTTTTTTCCCCCCATCTTAAACATGTTATCACAGAAGCGCTACTACCATCAGTGATGGGCTCAGCCTTGGCCACCAGTGGGTCCATCTCAGAGCTAGCTGGCACTGGCTCTATTTGATATAGGGGCAGATTCTGGCATCTTCCCACAGAAGCCACCCTTGTAGCCCCTGTTGCCAAAACCTTGCCATTTAAACCCAATATAATACCCAACTGAATCAAGCCATTTCAGGTTACCAATTTTTTTAGAGTTCCATCTCATCAGGAAAAAAAAAAATATTAAAACCAAACCAAAGACGTGCACACTATTAACTTTGGGATTTTTCTGCTCTGTGCTAGTCTGTCTTGTAGCTATGAATAATTCAGCAAATTGAAAGAATAGCAAAATGACTTGCTTTCTGGTCATTATGATTGCATTTTCCCACATCCATATTCCCATGTGTCCTTAGGGTCACCTGTCTCAGCCCATGTATACATACCGTTTGTTGTCTGTTCCTCTCTCAATTATTCTTCTCGTTGTTTTATTTTAGATCAACACCTCATCTTTGTTACACACCTTCTTTAACATAATTTTTGTCATTCTTTATTACGCTTTTTCAGTAAATAATCACATAATCACAGAATAGTTAAGATTGGAAGGCACCTTTGGAGATTGTCTAGTACCTTTATTTCTTAAAAGGAATAGGTATTACAAAAAATGCTTACCTGTTTAAAAATTCTATTCTAATACAAGACAATAAATACCATCGTTACATATACGTCTAAGCAACTAGGTATTTCCAGTGAAAAGTGTTTCTATCCAAGGTAACAAAAAAGCATGGCATAGTTCTCTTTATTTGTAACGATTTCTATCACATTTAATCCTACAAAATGCAGACTGTTCTAATGTAGCATTTCCTAACTGAAACTTATTAACAGACTGCTAAAGTTTCAGAACTAAGAAAACAAAAGTGTTCCCACTCATTTTCTTCTCCTCTGTCAGAGACAAATAAAATACTTAAAAGTATTTAGTTTTAAAGATCTGTTCAGAAAAAAAACCACTTTAATATACCATAGAACTTTTTCAAAACAGTTTTTTTTTCCATCAATTCTTCAGAATTTAAGTAGTAGACGTTTCTACAATTTACCTTGTATATCTGCAGTAGCAGATCTGTCCAAGCTCGTTTGCTCATTCTCTCAAATATGCTGTCCTCCAGAATGAATAGATGCTTGTTGCTAAATGTGTCCGAGTTTTTCACATCTTTTTTCAACTCAGCCGTGTGACCCTTTAGACAAAGGAATGGGATTTATTTTTTTTCAGCAGTTTGGATAGGAAATTCACAAGAGGACAATGATGAATCAATGGCATAAATGACTGATAACATCTACTATAGTGCAATTGTGATCAGCATTAGAACCATTTACAGTTTGCTGCTATGCCTGGAATAAGAAGCACAATACAGGATTGACAAGAGCTGAAAGCAGCAATCAAGACAGAAAGGCAAAACAAAGGATATTTTTTTAAAATGGTAGAATCAGTGGAAAGCAGTAAAAGGAATTATTCTACTTTGAGAAAACATATCTGTTGGAAATTAATCGCAGGTATTAGCAGTATCGGAAAGAATGGAAGAGAAAAACCAGGGGATGAGGGTCTAAATGTTGGTGTCAGCTTAAATTTCTGTTCAATCTCATGCATGTGCTTAGATTTATGCAATTCAAACAGTCACCACAGTAGGAATACTCATGGTCCACAGAGAATTTCCATTAGTCTTCAAAGGATTGACAGTAAGCATGTGGCCTTCATTAAAAAAAGAACAAAAAATAAAAAATTAAAAAAAAAACCCAAATCTACCTTCTGTACAGTCTGCACTTTAATCCATTTCTTATAATCATCAGGTTCAAGCAGAAATTCTGGCATAACGTGAGGAAGATATGCTCCTTGGCTTCTGAAATTGTAAAGCAGGAAAGGTTAATAGGTCAGCAAGATAATTCGTTTAAAGAGCAGTCCAAGTTTTTCAATTTGCTCAACCCATGTGTAAGCTCTTCTGAGTTCTACCTGAGTATACCTTGGACTAATGGTCCAGTTCTATTAATTGCTTTTGATAGCTTCTATTTCTGAAGTTCATGTTCAATTCCTATGCCTACAACTAAATGCTAAAAGCACACACAACTCTGACAAACTGGCTTCTTTACGAGAATTGCTCATGAATAAAGGATTATATCACAAAGCATCAAAACATGTAACCCCCATTTCCGTGTGTAAACCAAAGGACCAGTGATACATCACATTAGTAGAATTAAAACTTTATGATGATTTTATCTGTCTGCAGGTCTGATATTGGAAGTCTTAACTGTGTAAAAAAAAAAAAAGGTATTTCAAAACTCAGTTAATTGTTACACTGACCTGCCATCTGTTCTGAAGTGACTAATAAATGCAATAAGAAAAGTAATTGCAGTAACAAGAGACAACTTCATTAGACTAAATTAAAAAAAAAAAAGAAACCCTAACTCCCAAGTGAAGAAAGTCTGTTCATCTCAGATGACATAGTTTAAATAAATGTTGCTGGAAAAAGGGGAAAATGATGAAGAATTGTTAAGTTTTTTCTCAAGGGAGCAGAAAAGTTTGTTGACTTTTAGGTCAGAAAGATTATCCTAGCATACCTAGATTTACATTGCTCTCTGTGTTAATGTGAATAATAATTAGGTGAGTTGTTGTTCTTATATAACCACTCTTTCATTCAAATGAAGTGACTGTACTTTTCTGGTACCATACAGTCCAAATTCAATTTACTTTGTACATTAGAAATCATACATCACAGTTTGAAACTACGCTAGTAACAGCTCCTTTTTTGTCTCCATGTTTACATAGTGATATTATCTTCTCAGAATATTGAAATTTCATGTTTCATACAATTATCTAGTGTGGTTTTTAAAAAACAAATATTTTAATTAAGGACCCAAAATAGCATCAAGTTAGTAGTCTGGTTCTAATATTCACCATGTCTGAATTTCCTATTTACCATTAAGTAATAGACCCTGTCCCATGAAATCCCTTCAAAACTTCAGTTCTTCCCAAACTATCAAAGGAAGCTACACAACATTCACCTTTTCAGATGTCCTATCTTTCTTTCAATATTTTTACTTACTAGATATATGGGAATACATGTCATCTACAATTTTCATCCTCAGAAAAGCTACATAACAATGTTACATATCATCATATTAAAGATGGGTTCTATATAACTGAATGTTCCCATAATTGGTTTCATTTTGTTATTGAGGAACACCATCACAAAAAAAAAATTCCTCCTCATTAAGGTCTATATATAACATGATGCCAGTTCTCCAAGATCAGTATTTTCACACTGTTGAGATGTTTTTCCTCAACACACACAGCTTGCAACAAATTAGTTAGTTCTATGGTAAAATACCCAGAATTTTCCTTTACTGCTGTGGAAATGTACCAACAAAGCCTTTTGAGGGAAGGAAAATAAAATTGATACTTACAATGTTGCTTGAAACAGTGAACAATATCCACCTGCTTTAGCAAGAGGAAAATTTGAAAGATGAATTATGCTTTATTTGAACCGTGCTGACCAACAATTAGCAGTTGGGGGAAGAAAGCCAAGAACTGTATGTTTCTATTCTCAGAGTGCTGTTCTGTGCTTCTTCAGGAGGGAATTTGCACTTTCCACAAATCACAAAGAACATGCGTGGACAGCAGATTATAGCAGTTGAATTACTCCTATCTAGGCTGGCTCTGGATGTCTTATCATCATTACGTACAGTCGTGTCAGCAGCACAGATATCACACCTTTTTGCCCTAGGATCTATAAACACTCTAAAATAACAACCTGTGAAGCACCTGTGAGCACCAACTTAATCACCTAGCATCAAATACATATAAGCACAGGAGTCGAGGTACAACTGCTTTTCTGTAGCAACCTGTATAGTTTTGCTAGGATTGTTAAGGATTACTTCTTCATTTCCAATCATCAGATCTCATCAATCATCAGTCATCGATGTAGTTACAGATGCATACAGAGATGCTGAACTTAACGTTTACCAACTGAGCACTGCTCCAATTCTGCTCTGAATATGTCAGTGAGTTAGACAAAACTCCGTAAAAGACTGAAAATTTTTATTAAAATTTAGTCATTAAATAGTTTTCCAAATTGCTCAATAAACTACCTTAGAAACACTTCAGTATTTCTTTCCATTTCCTGTCATGCTTATCAAAAGGGGTTGGGATTCTCTTACCCCAAAACTCATCACCATTTTGAAAGCAGGCAACTAACATCATGTATGCTAGTTTCAGGATGCCTAGATTCCCTCGAAAATCTCAATGGGAAGACTGGAAATAAGAACCAGTAGGCTCCACGAGGAGAAAATTTTGACTCTGTCTAGGAGTGCTCCAAAAATATCCCATAAAAACTCCTTCAGGAAACATCCGTGAATGAATATTTTGATGGAAGACCTTGAACAGACTTTGTTAGGGCTAACCTGAAGCATAAGGTATGCAAAAGAACTGAAATCTGACTGTCTCCTTGCCAGAAGCTGCCAGAATATAAACAAAATAAGGTACATCGGAAGACCTTTCTGGTACAACCTTAATTAAGTAGCTTAATGACGTTCTTTCATTTCTTCACCTGTATCCTGAAAAATATTTCTACCTGTGTTGTTCATTTTCAGTGTTACAAACAAATGTTTTTATTTGCATTTTACAATAAACAAACTTGAGACAAATAAGGCAGAGAGACATTCTCTCTCTCTAAGGTGTAATGACTCAGTAAACTGCATCATATTAAAAAGTATACTCCCAGCTTCACAGCATACACACCACTCTACCCACATTCAAAAAGTGGTAAGAATTCACCTTATCTGCCCAAGCCACCCACCACTATCAGGGGGAGGAAAAAAGAAGTGTTTCCCAGAGCTGACAACAACCAAGAAGGCTTTCCGGTATACGTAAAGATATTGTGTGGCATGCTCAATGGAGGATGGCTGATGGTAGGTATCACTGCCATCCAATGAGGAATTATGTTATTTTTGTTCCTTCATTATGACCTCATCCATGTAACAGTGAGTTACAAAAGAGATTATAACACATTTGAATCTAGACAGAAAAAATATCAGTCCTGAAAGATCAAAGGTAAAGACTATATTAATTTGAATTAGGGCTGTAAAATCCCATACTGAAGGGTGAAATGCCCCGAAAGGCACATCAGCTCCACCCTTGAGGAGTAGTTAGACACTTGTGACTCTCTTGGTAGGAACTGAGCGGAATCAATAGAGCTACTTCCAGAAGGGTCAGTGAAACTTAACTGATAACAAGAGTAACAGGGTTCAAAAGAGGAAGCATGTCTTGAAGCTATTCCTGACTGCTCACTTAGGAGTTATGCAGAGTATTAGCTTAACACTAGACCTAAGGCAGTGGCAGCAGAAAGGATCTTCCCTGGGTTGAAACCAAAGAATCTTTTTGGGACTCTGACCTCAGAAAAACATCAATATACTGACTAGATCAATCAGAAAATCTCTTGAATCTACTAAGACAACCTTTCAGCCACATCCTCAATACCTTGCTCTCTGCAAGGACGCAACAGTCCTTCAGAGGAAGGATCAGCAGGGTGGTATTAGTGAGAGTTTTCGGTTGATGTGATGGAAAAATATTCTTCAGTAGTCCACTGCCTAATGACTCTAGCCTTAAGGATCCGATAGGAAAATATGATGGAATGTATCCATTGATTCCATTATTTAGTATCAGAATTGATGCTGAAGTTGTGAAAACAACAGGAATCTGTAAGCATTGTTCTTCATCACAGAAGAAAGACAAAGATATTGTTCTGCCACTGCTGCAATGGCTCCTCCAAATCATCTGCCACTACATTATCTTTGATGCACAGAAGAACACTATTCTGCCTCTTTTTAAAAAGAAAGGGCTTGGATCAAAGTCGCAAATAAAGGTCCAGCGCTGTTGGACCCAGAGGAAACCTTTGCTTTCGTTTCCCTGTTACTGTTGCAAATATTTTATCTCAAAGCCCATGATTTTCACTATGTCTATAAACTCAGTTGCTCTGGTATAGATAGCAATCGTTGCAAAGACTGAGCCAGGTTTGGTTTGGTTTGTTTTTAAGATAGCTAAATTTAACAAGTTGTGCACAGCACTTTTTATGATGTTCCATCAGGCTTTTTGATTCAGTGCATTGAGAAAGCTTATGGGATCCAATGAGGCAACCTGGTGTTCCCAAGAAGATGGAATTATTGAAAGTACAATTCTGTAATGGAACAGAAAGAGGTGTTTGAGATAACGGTTTCTGTTTCCATAAAGTTTTTTAAAGTTGCAACTTATCACTGTTTGGAATAGTTCTGCTGACGGTTGCCCTGGAAAAGATACCTGTTGATAGCACTCCACTGAGTATCATTATGCTTTCAGACCTTAAAACATCAGAAACATTGCTTGTCAGGTCTGCTGGTATATCACCACAGCTACTGGCCTTTCTGTTACACGAGGAGCAGTGTGCATTGGTCTCATTTATGAGTTCAGATACAGCTACGTCACTGTCTGTTATTCTCAGATGAAAAGCGTGTATTTAGAACAGGAAGTACATGACAATTTTTACATGGCTTTACAGCCTCTTGAACATTAGGTGAGGCTGCTAAAGAGAAGCAGAGATACTGTATATGGTGGCTTCTGATGCGGTGGGCTTCTGATGATTTCTAAGGATCTCATGACATTAGACTTTCTCTGAAGTTAATTCTCTTCTCTGTTTCACAGCAGTGACAGCCAAGAAGATTGAAGAAGAATTTATTAACCTTTTTTGATTTGCACCATCTTTGACATTTGCTCCACATTATGCGACAAGATAAGATTATCAATGAAGACAGCTAATAGCAAACGCTGTTCAGCATCAGAAGTAGTGCTTCCATTTTTTGGCATATTATTAATACGAAAGACTAATAGATTACAAAGTAAGCCCATAAAATTTTTGCTAAAGCCAGTAATTACAGGACAAGGAGCACCAGTGGAATGGTAGGAGCGTTAGTGACAAACCTGATCTGACTATCTACTGAGTCTGTTTAAGGAATGAGGTTGAGAGTCATCTTCTTTCACAATTAAGAGAGCAGAGTTCCTACAGAATTCCTGTCGGATATAACCCTACCAAAGGACACCTCAGCATAAACTGCAGAGGATAACCTTGGTAAAAGCTAATTAAAATTTATAATACATAAGTCTTAGATCACAAAAGATACAGTATAAATGAAACCCTAAACCTACTGTATATCATTCAGTTGGAACTATATTTGAACTATGCTAATAAATAAAGTGGAAACAAAAGAGATGTATATTATCATACACGTACTTACTTAAGGAAAGCAAGCAAGGTAGAATGCTGCCAGTGGAGCTTTAACATTCGTTCAACTGGATCAAGGGGCAACGACTGGCTTGATGTAATGCCTGGTAACAACTGTCCACTCAGATGGAATAACAGGTCATAAACAGTCTTAGTATCTTTGCCAAGGCTTTGTTTAAAAATCTTTTCTTGAGAAGAAGTCACGTGGATTTTACACACATCACTAAGAAAGAAAAAGTTTCTGATATCATTCTTTTAAACGCACAAAATGAGCTAACATTATATATAATCACAATGATTAATTTAATAAACCACGAAACAAAAACACAGCAAGAAAGTTGAAAAGCATAGCACCTTTTCCTTTTTACAGAACTTTCATAATAATGTAAGAATTTGAACTACATGGAACATTTCATAAGTATATGTGAAATATTTCATAAATAGATTTTTGTTTGTCACGGGTTTTGGCCAAACATAACTTTGATTTCTATCATGTTTATAAATGCCCAGGAAATTGGCTTCTTCATTATTTAGTAGCAAACTAGATAAGATCAACTAAGTGATGACACCAAGACCGATATATGTCCAGGGTGTCGGCAAGACTGTTGATTATGAAATTTGCTTTCCTATCTGTTTCTTGATCCTCAGAGTATGTGGAGGGAAAAAAGACATATTGTTAAAGCACTTATTTATGCCACCAAAGGAGGAACAATTGCTAGAACTGTGTTTACTCTGGGAGAAGAGCCAATTTCAGTTAAGAGGGTGACATATAGTTTGAACTGCATATTTAATATACACTGCATTATGATCTATCACATCACAGCATCTTTTAGAAGATGAAAAATAACACCTGAATGACATTTTCATATAAACAGCAGTTAGATGGTACAATTTTAATATACAACTGTGCATTAGAGTGTATTTATATTCCTCAGATCATATCCAAAACACTTTAGTATATATGCTAACATTTTATAAGGCAGACATAAATCAGCTCTAAGCAGAAATGAATTACCGTCTTAGTGAATATGGTATTGAAATAGGATTTTGTCCCTTAGACCAACCAAAGAGAGTGAACCAGTTCTTAACAGCAGTTAGAGTTTTCTGAAAGAAGATGTACTCCTCTTCATCTTCATCAGGAAAAAATGATAATTCAAATTTATTTTCTCTCCTGTCACTTTGACAGTCAGCTTCTCTCTCTTCACTCATCATTTCATCACTCTCACTTTCAAAAGCAGTATTCGACTCTGAATGATATACACAAAAAAAAAATCCAGAAAGATTCCTTATTACCGTGGTTTTGTCTAATACAAAAACAATTTTTTTTTTAAACACACAATTGTTTTCAGAAAACAAAAAATTGTCAGACAGCAAATGATCAACTTATTTTGGAAGTAAACAATTTAAGTGACATGTACATATCTTGGGAATAGGACAAATCATGTTCTCGGGATTGAATTTCACTTAAAGAAAAAATTATTACCCAACTAGAAAAAAAAAATTCAGGCACAGCTTACAAAACCACAGACAGCAATCTTAAAGAAACTGTGTTACATACAGTTGTAGTAGATATGGCTTTATCAGTTAGTCAACGCTAGTTCCCCACCTCAATCGCATAAGCACAGCTCAGTAATTGACATATTCAAATAGTTTATCAGGTATTGTATAGATGTAACTAAGCCTACATCCCCCTTTATAAACCTTTGGACTTTTCTCCCCTCTGTTAGCCCTTCTCTCTCCTAAATTCTGACCTGACTAGTTCCCTACCAGTTGTTAATAACATCAACAACAATATTATTGCATAAAAGATAAGAACAGAACAATTTTTCTCATAGCACAAATAACTTAGATGATTCCATCCTTGAAAGTGTATTTTAATAACACTGTTGCAGTTTTAATGTTTCATTAAACGACGCAAAAAATAAAACTAGCTGATACACTGGACAGTGACTAAAAAAAATCTTGTTAGGATTTAAAAAGAAAAAAAAATACAACACAATATGGAGGAAAAAGACTCATCCTTTCTAAGATCACCATGCAGTCAGATATGAGCTTCTGCATTTCTGCTGGCTGACAAGATTGCCTTCCCCATCTTGTCACTGCTATCTTCAGCAGAGGTTATTGCCTTTTCAGACCTGAAACCGAGTTGCTCTTTTGAACTCTTTTTGCACCTTTCCATTAAAAACAAATCGTGTTGGTAAAGAGCTACTATTTAATCTAACTACCCCTGTCTGTCTTGGCAACACCTTAGAGAATGATTACACAAATATCAGCAGATTTGCAAGAGTGGAATCTAACAGTGATGAAACAGCAGTAGTAAATTCTGCTGTTCTAACCTTCCAGTTAGAAAACTAGCAGCTGAAAGAAGCAGCCTCAGATACTAGTCACCTGAGAACCTTACAGAATATCTATTACTCATGGTTCATATGGAACCGTACCTTAACAGAGTGCCACTGACAATGGTTGTTTTTATATAGTAATTCATAAATGCAATAAAAATGTCAAATTCTAACCTGAGCATACAACTAGACCTCTGCAGAATATAGCATATTTACAGAGTGGATATGGTTGGTTAGTTCATGACTACAGAAACAATGCCCTTCTCAGTAACTAATCCCTTACGTTTGTCCAGTTGTTATTTTTCTGCTGGCTTCCCCATGGACATGTAGTTGCAAAAGGACCTTGAAATTTTTTGATTGTTCCTTTTTTTATTTAAAAAAAAAAAAAAAAAAAAAGCATTTGACTGATTTGCATTCCACTTAGTCTGCTCAAAGGAAGGAGAGTTTTTTCTGCTTCTACATTGTAGGTCAAGTTTCCCATGGTGTCACAGAAGAGAACTGATTCCCTTACACTTATTGATTATGCGTGCAGAAGCATTTCAAGCAAAACTTATACAAGCGAAACATATCTCTTTAAAGCATTAAGCTGAAGAGCAGCTGCAAGGCCTCAAAGTGTTTAAAGCAAACAGCTGCACTATACCTGATTGAGAATCTTCATAGGTTGAGTCAGTGGTTACACCAAAGGAACTTGAAGAAACACTATGGGAAAGTGACTGTGGAGTATAACATGGCTGCAGAATGACTTCTCCACTACTGCAGTCTTTACTGTCTATAAAACAAGATTACAAGCTGCGGTTGAGTAAAACATATTTTATTGTCTGTGCTCTAACAGCTTATAAATAGGTATCTGCTTCTATATTTTTCTATTTCATGCTTCAGTTAATCAAGTAGCAGTTCTCATTTGACTCATAATGAAAAACTCACTTTGGTCATTAGACGAGGGACAAAAAAAAATTACTTGCATATTTTCTTCCATTAACTGTATGTTTTACAGTATGTATGTTTCTGTTACCACACTGAAAACATTGATAATACTACTGGACACAACAGAATATTAAGAGGTAGAATGTTGACAGCTTACCACTTCTCAAGATAACTTGTTGATCAGAGCGGTGAAATGCCAAATACGGGTATAAAGTAAGAAGGCAATTCTCTGCTGTTGCAGCAACTTGAATTGAGAATCTGTTAAAACAAAATACAGAAGTGATAATTTTCTATACACGGAAAAGTTTGCCAGCTTCCAACTCATGACTTCACTGTGACAAACAACAATTCTCAGTACTCTGCAGGCATATGTTAGGTTAACTTCAAACAACAGAATCGGGGGCAGGGGTGGAAGAAAGCTCTCTATGAAGTTTAATGAAAGACATAATTCTCAAGTTACATGAAAGTAACTCGGATGTCTGTATTCTTGGACTCAGTCAACTTTCTGATTCCAGTTTGAAGTGAGCACCTCAGCCATCTCCATCCCCAATGCTGATTTGAGATGTGAGCATATGCCAAATCTTCATCCATGCTCTAATTTGCACAGTAATGAAACACAGAAAAGTGTGCTTGAGAACAACCGCAGTGCATCTTAACTAGTTACCCAAATTCAATGAGCGATACTGCTCAAAGCAAAGATACTGTTGCACAATCTACAGTATAAAGAACAGTCATCGCTACAGAACATCTGTGTACAAATAAATGCCTTAGACCTCACAGTGCTGCTCCAAGAGAAGCTCCTCCCTGTTCCAAGCCGCTTACAATCCAACAAGGGCATGCCTCCTTGGCTGCTATGGTATTATAGTAAGAGAAATTAATACACCCAGACAATAACAAACGCAATGCACATACATTCTTAACTAAGAAAATTTAGAAGCTTCAGAGTGTTCATAAGATGAAAAAAGATTGGACAATGAAGCACCTGTGGTGGCTAAGCATGAGCTGTGAAGCAACACCAGGAAACTGCAAGGAATAGCAGTGAATAAAACCCTGCTGCAGGGGACGAGAACCTCATTTGCCAACCTGACCCTTCATCTAGGGAGGTTTGTTGCTCGCCTGGGACTTTGGTCCAGGATGTTGCTGAGAGACCGATGCAGCTTGTCCGGCCCTCGGCCCTGCTACTCTTCCACATGGGCTCCAGTGAAGTTGATGGGGAGACCTGGAGCATATCAGGTGTGACTGCACAGCTTTGGGGGGAACGATGAAGGGAACAGGGCATTCTCCTCAGTCACGCTGGTGAAGGAAAAGAGCTTAAGGATGAGTGGATAGATCCTGCAAGTCAACAACTGATTCTGCAGCTGATACTGACAGCAAGGCTTTACCTCCTGTGACCGTGGGTCTACCATAGCTGCAGTGACTATGAGATGGTGGAGTTCAGGATTCCAAAAGGAAGAAACAAGACAAAAAAGCTGTATTACAACCCTGGAATTCAGAAAAGCAGACTGTGGCCAGCAGAGAGCCACCAGGGTGAAGAAGGGACTGAAGAACCTGCCATGTGGGGAGAGACTGAGTTGTGAGTGTTCAGCCTGTAGAAGAGAAGGCTGAGAAGGATTTTATCTACGTGTATAAATACCTGATTGGAAGAAGTAAAGAAGATGGAGCCAAACACTTCTCAGTGATGCTCAGTGAGAGCACATAAGGCAATGAGTACAAATCAAAACACAGGAAATTCTTTCTAGTCATTAGAAAAAAAAAAATCTACCATGAGTGTTGCTGAACACAGGATGAGTCTTCCCAGAGAGGGTTGTCAAGTCTCCATCTTTGGAGACATTAAAAAAAACAACTGGAAAACAATGATGGTTCCGATTTCAGGAGGGGATTTGAAGAGGGAACTAGATAATCTCTGGAAGCTCTTTCCAACCTCAGCCATTGTCTGATAATACATATTGACTCACTTAATGATGATGAGTGGACAGGTGGTCAATAAGTATTACAATACTTTTTTTTTTCCCTAAAAATGGGATTTGAAAGGAAAATTCAAGAATGAGTCAGTAGCTAAAAAATTCATCTGAGTTTCAGAAGATGACATTCCATTTGTAAGGAAGCATGGCAGAAAAAAAATGGTGCTGGGGTGAAATGTTTATCATACACATTTCAGGCACTGAGATACAGGGCACCAAACAGAAAAACATGTATATTTCCATACAAATATGGCAAATAGATTACAAAGACATGTACATTCTGCATGTGCTTAAAATCATCTTGTACCACTGACCTTTATTAATAATATTATTCATGAAGTGAGGTTACAAAGCTGTAAGTCTTTTGCAATGTATTTGTTCTGTTATTTGCAGCAGAGCTTAACTAAATAACATAAAAGTATGTGTTCTTCTATTAGAATGAAAGGTATCTGTATTGCTAGCGAATGTGAAGTTACTAATTGTGTTAAATTACTCAGTCTATTTAGTTTTATAATGCTTAATAAAGCAAGCAAAAAATTTGTTATCTACGTGAACCATGATTGCTACTGCTATTTCAATGTTTATTCTCTAATGCATATTTCCAAAGAACACAGAACAGGAGAATGGCCATTAAATATATTGTGTTTACCAACATGTGAAACCTGCTGATCGCCAAAAACTAAAGCTCCAACTGTGATGACAAAAAAATACCATCCACTCTCTATAACAACAGTTCATTCACATCTCTTAAATTGAAAGAAACAAATGAAAAACAAAAAACAGAGTTAATGTTTGTGGAGAAAAAAAAAAAATCAAAATATATTTATCATTTTTATTTTGCTTTATAGCATTTCAGACATTTTCTAAGCAGAAAAAAGTGATTTATTTTATATGA